TATATATATATATATATATATAAATAAATGTTAATATTTTATTGTTTAGAAATATAAAATTTTATATTATTTTAATCAAAGCATTTCGTTATTTTGTAGGGATTATTCAAAGTCTGACACCTGAATTCAACAGAATGCCATTACAGTACTTCACTACACCAGACTGCGATTAATACTGCTCAAGAAGAAGAAATGTTTGAATTAATGTTTGATTCCAGGCTGCACAAAACTGCAAGAAAAAAAGTAAATTAGACTGCGATGTATAGGGCTGTATGTTTCATGATAACTGTAACAGCTTTAAGTGATTTCAGAGCTGTTGAATTATTTCTTGCCAGCTGGGACAAATGTACAATGGTGTCCCAAAGGATTTTCTTCCTTGATTTATTTCTTTCCATATGGGCACGATTACAGAAGTCACGGAAAACTGGGACTCTTCCTTTTAATATAAACAGCATATTTATATTTCAGGATGCAAATGACTGCTCTGCAGTAGTATGCATTGTAATGAATGTCATGCTGTTTCCCCACTGCTTATATTTTTTATCAGTCTATGATTAGTTTCAGTGATTGCATCCACACATTCTTAAATCTTTATTTTTGTCAAGTCAAGTCACCTTTATTTACGTATATTGAGCTTTATACAATACAGGTTGTGTCAAAGCAGCTTTAAGGCTTGTTCAAGGCTTGTGAATATCGCGCGCGATTATTGCCGACGTTTAACGCCTCGTGACTAAACAAAGGGCGCCAATGTGAGTGTGCACACCGACACACAAATGCGAGGCGTAAAAGCGGCATTTTTTTAATAACGCCTCGGGCTCGTTTTTTTGGGGGTTTGACGTGCCGCGTTAAAAACTGGCCGACCAATGAGATTGGCGCTTTTGTTCACGTGCCTGGAGCTGCTGAAGTTACAGTAAAACACGACTTGGTGGCGCTCAAGCACAAAACGGTCTTGCCGAGCACACATTGATACCTAACGACGAAGAGGAAGTAAGTAAACCAAGAAGATGCGTCGAGGCAAGATGAATGTAGAGCTGCTGGTCTCATTGGTGTCTGAACACAAAGGGCTTTATGACAAACCCGACAGCGACTACAAACATCTCGATAAAAGGGAGTTGTTATGGAGAGGAATTGCAGATCAAATAGGATTCGATGTGTACCGGGGTATTTCTGTTTTTCATTAAGCGCCATCTAATGTCAGGGAGTGAATTTGCACGTTCACTCGGCTCATCGCCTGCGAAAATCGCTTGGGTATGAACACAAAAGACGCGTCGAAAAACGTCGACGATAAGCGCGCGCAATAATCGTCCCGGTGTGTACGAGGCTTTACAGTGTTAAACAGAAAATAGTTTGTCAATAATGCAGGAGGACAATAACAAAGTCAATTTTTTCAGTTAAAGTCAGTTCATTGATGATTCAGGTGTGTCTTCATCCAGTTCAGCTCTCTTCCAATCAAGTGTCTGTGCAATCAAGCTGACAATATTGCCAGAAACTAAGCGTCATTTATTATTTTTGTTAGGGATGCACCGATTGCAATTTTCTTGGCCGATTCCGATTTTCGATTTTTTGTTAGTGTGATCTATCGATACCGATTTTTGCCAATTCTGGTTTTCTTTCTAAGAACTATAATTGACAGCATATACAAACAAAAATCTACTTTTCTTCAATGCAAAGTTTTCTTTTCATAAAAAAAGTAAAAAGTCATTAATAAAATAAGAACAAATACAAAAATTGCAAACAACAGCACAAATAAATGCAATAGAATAAAGAGAGCTATGAAACTAGGTTTTTCAGGTTAATTAAGTTTTTATTCAGGTAAGAAATACTACAGAAATTAAAGTAATAAAATGTAAAATAACACATTCAGTGTTATTTTACATTTGATTTTAATTTCTGTAGTCTTCGTTGTAAAAATTAAATACAGATTAATGCTTACCATTAAAGTTATAAAACGTATTCAGTCAAGAGCAGAAAAGGATTTTCTTTGTCTTTTGTTCTTTGATTAACATGACAGACAGCAGCAGAAATATTGGACTGCGGTCCCTTTAAGAGTTTATCCACGGACCCAATATACTGTGTATGTAATGTAATGTAATTAACACCCAATATACACAACATGCGTTCTCTTTCTCAACTATTTAACGTTCCAAAACTG